CATATTTTAGTAATAATATACAACATTTTAACGATAATTTACGAGTTAATTTACTAGAAAAATCAGTTAAGGTAAAGTCAAAAAGGGTAAACTATGTTTAAGAGCGCAGACAACCCCACGAACAAGAAAAATGATTTATCTTAAAAGAATTAAGTAATATCTACATCACATTTATTAATCAATTTTCTCTCACCCTAAGACTGTTGACAAATTACGGAATAAATTATAATAACACCCATTCTCTGGCTTAACCCCTTTTCACAAAATTTAACCAACCAAAGACTAGTTTCCCTTGAATAAAATCAATACCAATTTATGTGTGAGTGTGTGTTAAGCTTGAAATGAGGAAAACTTGATGAAAAACTCATAAACCAATAGAGCGAGCGTCCCCCTTTGACTAAAACTGCAAAGGCAACCCAGTCGGGGATAAATGCAAAGAAATTGCAGGGAGAGCTACGAAAAACAGGATAATTATTCAAACACTTTCAAAGTCACATACAGATACAAACGGGGTTCCCCCCTCTAACGGAAAACGCTGAATTGAAAATGGTTTTGGAAAAACTTTGTCGTTGCAAGAGACCGACAAAACTAAAAGGGGATGGTTTGGGTTTGGTTTTGTGTGTTTCGGGCTGTTCCTTGCTACTCTTCAGGATGATGCACTCCCGGGGAAGCGAATCGAAACGAAACGAGACGAGACTGAAAACAAAAAAACATATGCGGGACCTCACGACCGAACCATATCCTGTAAGCGGTCTGTGTGTACACACACATGCACATGTGTGTATATGTTTGCCAGACGAAATATAACTGAAAAGCAGGCGAAGGTTGTTCAACCAACCACCGCAGGAAAAGACCAAAAACAGGACGGGGATTCGGCGGAGGGGGAATGGCACAGCCTCTGCAGCAGCTGTTCCAAACAGTGGAGGGCTTGGAATGGGATCGCTATCGGCGCGTCGACGGCGGTATTGTGACTGGGATTGAGGAGTATCGTAAATAAAACTATGCATGTGCACTGCTTTCGATTTTGGCCTCTCGCACACACATATTTTTCGGTGGTTGGGCTCAGTCCAAAATCAAAAGTACAAGCACGAATACCATGCGGGAACTGAACTCCCCGGCTGAGATTAGCACAAGGATTGCGACCCGATCAAAATCAGATGGGGATTGTAAAGTGACAAAAAATACCAGGATGTAGAAGCTAGGAATACCCTCGACTTTCTTAAATAATAACTACAATGTATTTCAATTAAATAATCAATGTAATTAAGTCAACAATGTAGCAAATACAATGTATTTTATTACACATTAATTGCTTTATTCAAATTTAAATTCAAAACCCCAGACAGGTTGATATTTTTATTAGTTTTATGCTCAAAATAAACCATAACGTTCATGACCATAAACAATAAAGGCCATTAAAAGGTTCTAAATTGCTCTTCTTCCTCCTAAGTCGGCCTGTTGCCAGGGAACTGGAATGGGCCAAAACAAAGCCGAAGCCTAAAAATAACAGGAACGGGCTAAGCCAAGTCAGTCGGTGGTAGGTGAGTGAGCCTAGACCAGAGACACCTTGCCTTGCTGCTGACCAGGCCAAGACTCTGGATGCCAGGTTGAGGTCCAGGTCCAGAGATCCGCAGAGAGTCCACAGGCCGCCGCCGCACCGCAATTCGTGCAGGAAGCGGGTTTCGTCTCTCGATGCAGGCAAAAGGTTTACACTGTCTTTTTTTTTTTTCAGCCGCCCGTCGTCCACTTGTCCATCGGTCTGTCGGTCCGTCGTCTGCCTGCGCACCTCCCAAAACCAGTTGCAGGTAGTTTAAAGTAAAGCCCAAAGATCTTCGCTCATTCGCTCGTCTTTTGGGATACCTTATAGCATATTTCTTATGCGACTGCTGCGCAGCCCGAGTCCAAGTCTGTCCCGTCCCAGCGACCCGCACATACATACCGATATACCTACGGTTCGGATACAATATATATGTATATATATACTTATATATAATTCTCTGTCGTTTCTTGACTCTTTCGAGTCGGTTGCATTGGGAAAAATTCGTAGAACTTTGCCTAGGATTAATTGGTTGAATGTTTGTTGTTCTTGTTTCGTTAGCATCGTTCTTCTTTTTTTTTGTGTGTTTGGTTTCTAGAGTGCCATTTCTGGGAAACAAATTATAAATTGAGTAATCTAGCAGTAAGCATCGATTTCGGTTTTTTATTAGAATCATTTCAAGTGTTTTAAGTTGGGGGAGAGGCAGTTAAAATCAAGAGGTTTGAGTAATTGCAGCAGTGGAACATTTTTTTGGAAAAAGTTAACACAATTTCTGAAATAATTACAAATTTCTACACCCTTAAACTTAAATTTTCCCTAAGAAAAATGGACAAACTAATGTTACTAAAATACAAACAAACTTTTATAAGTTTATATTTTTACTTGGCCATGTTGGCCAACTTCAGCCGAAAACAAGAACTACTTAACGACCAGGCACTTCCTTCCGCGCCTCCAAACCACGCTTCACCTGCTCTTTCCACACAAACTTCCCCCTCACAGAACCAACCTCTCCACCCTCTAGAGCAGCACCACCTTTAACTAAGAAACCGTAAACAAAAATAAATAAATAAAAAAGACATGGCCTAGCCTAGGTCTGGGCCGGACGGGGGCCAGCTGCATCTAACAAGTTCGGCATTTGGCACTTGAATTTAACGCTTGATTGCATTCCAAGCCTAAGTTTCTGTCGCCCCCAAGTCGGACGGGATCTTTATATATATAAAAGCTGTATATAAGCAGCACAGCTGCCATAACTTCAACTTGCACAAGTTCAACTTTCTTGAATTAAAACAAAATTGAGTAGCAAAAGCCTGCAACTAAGGAACTTTTAGCAGAACTCAAACTGTAAAGTACTCACAACACTTAAATCTTTTGTATGAATGGAAAACAATAATTGGCGGTTATCCAAAAATACTTTACCAGTCTTTAATCTGAACATTTTCCTAGAGTTTCCTATATTACATATAATTCTGTTAATTTTAAAACTAAACTATAAAAGATCTTTAAATATGAGTCCCAGATATTAAGCTCAGAATAGTAATAGTGGGAATTGTGAATGCATATTAATATATATTGCTTAAGACACTGTCAGACCCACACGGTTAAGATGATGGCTTTGCAAAGCCAATTCAAACGTCAACGACTTCTTTCTGCGGGTTCCACTTTCAGTTGGCCAAAGGGAATCGGTGGCTTAACTTGGTCTTTTTCAGGGGAATGGGGGCTTTTAAGGGGATATACTCGTCGTACTCGAGCTGCTTCATGCGCCTCTCCTCATAGTTTGCCTTTCTACGCTCTATGTTTTCTTTTAGCTCAGCTCCTCCACTTGTGGCTCGTCTTCAGACTTCCTTGTGCCCAGACCCAGGCCCAGGCCCAGGTCCACAACCTCCACACTTCATCCCCATCCCCAATACCCGGCCGTGTGCCAGTTTTTCACTGGCTTCCCGGCGGACCAATGCCTCCTCCACCAACTCCGCGGACCGCAGAGCCCCACCGATAAACTGGCCTCACTTTGCGTTTTGATTATAGCCGGAAATGCCGTTTTACACGTGAATGAAATTTGTAAAAAGCAGCGTTGCCGAACTTCAGAGCCTACACTAAAAATAAATGGATGGGAAGCCGAATTTAAATATTAAATGGAAGCAAATTATTGGCTAGTCAAAACGTATGTGATTGCCATTGTGGATAGGTTGCTTCGTGGAGATCAATTTGCACCATTTTTCGGGTACTATTTTGTTTATTTTGTTATTTACTGAAAGTTAGAAATATTTTTAAATTTTACCGCAAACACAAAGGCCCTTTTAGAACCTCTTTTAACACCTTTTATTAAATTGATATGGGTTATGATATCACTAGGAGTGATTTTTAATTCTTGTGCCTAATACAGAAACATCTTTTGTACTTCCTGTTAGTTCAAGTGTAAATAAAAGCATTTTGAAAATGCTTAAATCTACATTTCACATTCTAGTTCTTTCAGTGAGTTACAAAACTAAACAGATGTAGCAGTTAGATATAAAGTTAAACCCGTTTAAGCAACAATTAATGTAAAAATTTTCGCAAAAAAATGCAAATCAAAGGAGAGTCAAGAGGAAAGGCAAAAACGAGGGAGATGGCAAAGTAAACGAGGCAAATGCAAGGGGAGAGAGTCCACGCTTAGGGTAAGAAATATATTATAGGAAAAATCCACCCTCGGGGGGCCAGGCCGAAACGTTGAAAACTGCACAAAGGCGCAAAATCATGAAGGACAGCTCGGGGCTCTGGACTGGGACTGAGACTGGGCTCAGAATTGAAATGGGTACGAGGTATGAGGATGTTGACGTTGCCTGCTGCACATAAAAAATACAACAACAACAACAAGAGCAACACAACATACAATCCAAAAGGGTTACAGAATCAAAGGCCTAAACAGAAGGTTGCTGAACCCACGGCGAGACCATGACAAAAAAGAACATTGCAAGGCAATGGGGTGTGCCTGAAAGTGGACCGAAGTTGCAAATACCCTTGCAGATATTTGTTTACATGTTTGTTTATATAAAAGCCAGTACGGTATTTTGTAAACATAACTAGCTATTCGAGTTGAAGGTATACAAAGTTACAAAGCAGCGAATACCATTACTTGGGGAACTAACGTACGGTTTTATAGAATAACTTTATTTATTATTTAAAGATTTGCAAGATTTGCTATATTTCTTTAAAAGTGCTTAGTCTCATTCGTTATTCACTTTATTATGCATTCTTTTATCAATAAACAATAGCAAAAAGTTTTAAAGAACCTTTCCTGATAAGCCTCTTTTAATATTTAACTATTTATTTAAATTCTGCAGAAATAATTATAGATATTGTATCTTTTTACCAACTAGATAGGTCCAGCCTAAACTTAATTGGAGATACAACTTTCCTTAACACCCACCGAAAGGGTATCCTTGCCTTTAATCAGAATTAATAAAGGATGATATGATCTTTTACTTACCAGACAACTCCGAATGCTCCATAGCCGATGGGACGATCCGGTTGGACATCCTGCGGAACGGCTGGCGGCTGATAATAGGGAGCCGCTGCGGCCAAGATTGCGCTGGCGCCCTGTGGCGCACCACCGGCAGCACCACCCTGTACCAGTGACATCGAAACGCTCATTGATGGACTACGCGGCAAGCTTTCCAAATAATTCGAGCAGCTGCACCCGCTGCTGGTTGTTGCTATCGGTGTTTCTGTTGTTTTGACTGTCTCGTGTTCCGATGGAGCTCAGTTCCGGGATGGTGGTGGTTTCGACTGTGGACTTGGATGTGGTTCTGGTTCTGGTTCTGTTGCTTCCAGAACTGGTGGTGACTGAGGTGGCGGTGGTGGTGGTGGTGCTTGGCTTGATGTGGGAGAAATGGTGTTGATTGCTCAATGGATGCCGCTGGGGGCTACTGATGGCCGCCATTCAATTGTTGGCCATTTGTTGCTGTTTGGTTGGCTTCTATTCTAATCTATTCAATGCTTTTCCGCTTCTTGTCGTGTTGTTAAAGTCCCTTATTGGACACTTTTTATTTATTTAAATGAGATTTTAGGACATTTTAGAGAACTGCAAAGAAGGAAAGATAAACAAACATTATTTGTTTAGGGGTTTTTGTTCACTAGTGATTAGTTAAAATGGTAAGTTCTTTGCAAGTTTGGAATGGAAATATCAATATTTTTAGATAAAAATATCGAAAATTGCAACTGTCAATTTTAAAGTATTACTTTTGCATACAAATTATTTCTTAAACAAAAAGATATATTCATAAATGGGCACACACATTAAAGCACAGTGTAATAATTTTTTATATTTTATTAATATTATATTTTATATAAATAATTAAAAAAATTTAAAGCTCAAAGGTTTACTAAAACAATTTAAATTACAACAAAGCTATTTACTTAATTTTTCAACTAGAACAAAAAAAAATTAATTACATTTAATTAAGGTTTCTGTCTACAATTTTGAGCTCTAGTTTTTTAAACCGGAAATATCCCGTTGCGTTGGTTCTCTGTACTTTAATTGCAATTACTTTTGTTTGCTTTTCAAATTTTTGGTGGCAAATAAAGCTGCACAAGAACAACAACAAAAAAAAAAAAAAAACGAAAATTGAAAAACAGGAGAGAGGGATAACGAGAGAGCGCGAGAGAGAGGAGGATGTGAAAAGTGCCGTTAGCTGGCTGTCGCGACCGTGTATTACAATTGTAAGAGTGTGCTGTAAGTGTGTGCGCATGTGAGTGAGATTCTGCCGATTCCCGAATCTGAGTGAGATTTTTAGCTGCGCTGCCTGCGCGTGGCTATAAAAAGCCGCTCAAAAGCGCCATTTGAGCGGAGTGTGACAGCCAGTAAAAAGAAAAACCACACACAGTTTTTACACAATTTTAAGGAAAGCATTTGCCAGGCAAACCAAACACAATGCTGAGAAGAGCCAAGCCTCCGCCGCCAAACTCTCTCAGAAGACAACAACGGCAAACTCAAACTCAAACGAAATGCAATAAAAAAAAAAAACGGGACAAAAGAAATTTTTGCCCGGGGATAAATAATAATTCCCAGGGCTTCGTTTTTCCTAGATTTTCCTGGGGTAATTAAACTGGCGTTTCCACCTTTGATTTACCTTAAAAAATGCACAAATTATTTGAGCAGCGACGACGGCGGCAGCAGTTTTTCTTTTTGTTAATTTATTTTACTATTTCCGACTCTTCCGCATTTGTGGGAGCGAGACGGACGAAGAAACGCGCCGGGAAAGTGCGGGGGGAACTTTGTGCGTGTGTGTGAGGGAGAGAGAGCGATAGTGAGAGATAACAAGGTAAAAAACACTCGAACTGAATTTTGTAATTTTCTTAATTATTATTGTAAAAAAACGCCAGACGACTTTGTTGTTGTTTGTTGTTGTTGCTGCTGTGTTACTACTACTACTACGACCACGGCGGCTGCTCACACACACACACTGATACACAATAACACACCAAACACACGTACAATATGCAGCAGACAAACAAACAATTGCCTGGGTCACGTTTCTGGCTCTCTCGCAGCTTTTATTGCATTATCTTTGTTATCACACGGCCGCGGGGCGTGGCTGGGGGCGTGCACAGAACCCAGATGTAATTACTTTGGCTCTCCGGCTCTACGCGTTCTGTAGCTTCGATTTTCGATCACACGCGGCGTCTTTTCCAACGATTTCGTTCGTGTTTCGTGCGCTTCGCTGTCCCGTTGTTCCGCTGCGGTCGAAAGTTGAAAGAGAACTAGTGCTGGCAAAACATCGATGTTCGTCCGTAAAAGCATCGAAAAATCGATAGTGGAAAAAATCGATTTTTTGCCAGCACTAAAGAGAACTCCGTGAAATCCAGAGTGGGCAGCGCTGAACTGCTTGAGCAAGCAGTACTTCGATAGCACTATCGATATGTTCGTAGCTTTAGTGTCTGGTCACTCTGCACGTTTGTTTTGATTTTGTTTTTGGGCAACTTTGAAATGGACCACGCGATGAGCGATTTGAAGGAATTCATCACAGATTTGGTTGTTCCGCATCACCGCAGAAGCGTCAACATCAACCAGGACCACATCACCATGCTGGAGGGCAGTAAGATCAAGAAGCAGCACTCCCGCAAGCGGCGTGCCCACAAATCCACGACTCTCAGCCGGAAGGAGTACGCGAAGCTCGGATTGAATACACTGCCCACCAAGCAGATGAAGTACGAGGAAGCCCTGCCGCTGCATAATCTATGGAAAGGCTATGTCCGCGAACACCTGGCACTGCGAGAGGGCGGTGAGGTGCCCGAAGTCCACGATCCCCGCTACGATGAGTTCAGCAAGCAGCTGGTAAAACTGGATTTGCACGGCGCCAAGTTGAGAGTCACTCAGTCCAAGTGCAGCACGCTGGAGAACCTTTCCGGTATCTGTGTGATGGACACCAAGAATGTGCTGAAGCTGCTGGGCAAGGATCATCGTCTGCGAACCGTACCCAAGAGCGAGTGCGTTTTTGGCCTGAAGGTGGGCAACATGGAGTTCACCATCTTTGGACAGCATCTGAATATCCGACCGGCGGAGCGTAGTGTTAAGAAGATCAAGAACTTTGTGGAGCCCTTCATGTAGGTGGTTAAGGGATTGTATTTAGTATGAAGAATCAAATATAAGTAGCCTAGGTCTTGTTTTCCAGTGGAAAATATCCTGAAATCCCTGGATTTTTATGGAAAAAAAAGCTACATCTTTGCCAAAGCTTTATGTTTTCATTTTTCCTTTTTAATACATATATAAAACCGTACATTTAATGTTTTTCTTTTTGGGGAAATATCGCGCCGCGTTTCTTTTTGTTTTACTTTCTAGACATTTTCGTTTAGTCGTGAAGAGAGAGAGTGGGAGATTCCCTGGTATACCCAACGTCCTATGCAGCCGTCTTGGTCATGGTAATGACGGCGGATGGGACCAAGCCAAGCACCTCCAGCGGCTTCTCGTAATCCTCCTCGGCAAACAGTTGGCGCGGAAAGGTGGTCATCAGAGAGAAGGGTGTTTCAATGCCAGTCTTGACCTGAATAAACACGCGCACTGCCGATAGCTGTTCCTTGATATTGAAGGTCTCCTGGAGCGTGGAGCCATCCTGCAAACGAACCTGAATACGGGTTTCGGTGTAGACGCGCTGCGGAGATGTCACAGCCGGAGCCGGTGAACTGGCCGTGGTGGAGCTAACCGAGGGTGCTGGCTCCGAAATGCCCGCTTCCTTTTGTTCTCTGTGGGCAAGCGGTAATCAAAATTCTATGATTTTTTCCAATGAAACTGGAAAATAAACCTCACCTGGCCTTGCGTGCAGCCTTATCCGCCTCGATTTGAGCCCTCACCCGGTCGCGGGCCGCCTTCTCTTCGTCCTTTTCGCGCTTGCGCTGCTCCACGATTTTCTTCATTTCCAGCTCCTCCATGCGACGCTTGGCCTCTGTCATATCCTTGCCAGACTTGATGCGGTTCTTCTCCCGCTCCAGAGCGTCCACCTTTTCGCGCTCCTCACGCTCGATGCGCTTCTGCTTGAGTTTCTCTTCGATGAGAGCGAGCTGGGCCTTCTTCTCCTCCTCGGTGAGGGCCTTTTTCTCCTCCGTGGACTCGGAGAAGTTGCTGTGACCGGTCTTGGCGGCGTGATACTCCACTTCTGTGTGATCTTTAAGCACCTTGCCACAATCGTCGCATTTCAGAGATTTGGCCACGGCGGAACCCGAAGCAGCTTCGGCCGCGCCACTGCTGCTGGGAGCAGCTGAGGCCGCCGGGTCCTCCTTAGAAGTTGGGGGAACCCCGGTACCGGGACCCTTAGAATCGCCTGTGTTTTGACGTGGTATCTCCTCGTCGCCGTGGGCAAGCAGCCACTCCATGGCCGGCTCCACTCCCTTGTTGCTGGTTACTTGCAGAGCGTATTCCCTGCGGAAAAATCCAAGAAAGGAACCCACAAGTAAATTTTCGCAACTTGCCGGAAAGGGAGAATAAAATTCGGGGAAGTCCCCTATACTTACACGCGCTCCCGGGGGAAACCCATATCCATCAGGGTCTGTACGTCACTCATGGCGGTTGTGTTAAGCTTTCAAAACAATGTATTCGACTATAGTTTTTGCGTATTTACACAAAAATTTACAATGACACACAAAAACAAAGCCCTATGCGTAGTGTTGAAAAATGCGAATAGTGGCGACTAGAGAATAGTTCCTATATCGGTGTTGTGAATTATCGATAACTTAGTGGCGATAACTAAGGGGGGTTTAGCTATTTTATAACAAAAAAATAATAAAAATAAAAAACTAAAATATTCATGCAAATCATTAAATGTAAAAAAATTAATTTAGAATGTTCATAAAAAAGTGTTAAAAAATAATTAAAAACTATAACTTCAGAGCCAAAAATATTTTTAGCTAGCTCACAATAGTGACCACTATCGATAGTTTAACATCTATCGGTTTCCAACACTGCCGTCACTAACGAATTCGGCGTCCACAGCCAGGAAATTAGCTGCATTTTTGTTCGTCTTCACCGTAATAGTTTTCTTTCCACTACTTTAAAGATGTCGCCGAAATTCAAGACCAAAAAGATGGTTGTTAAAATTCCGCGCCACCCCTACTTCAACGTCCACAGCGAGCACAGCGTGGAGCGGGAGGTGGAGTACCAGGTGCGAAAGTGTCGCGTGAATTTGGAAAGGCTAAAGTCGACTACGGGCAATACGGCTCATCCTTTTCCCCTGAAACCGAAGCCGAAGAGATGCATTGTACGGGTGGCCAGGCTGCCGGACGTGGAGCGCAGCGAGATCTCCGTCACCCCGGCCAGTTCCATCATAAACTCTGACATAGACGAGGGTAAGGGTGAGAGGCGGCCTTGGAAAAGTACCCCAAACTAACTATTATTTACTTGCAGGCGCTGTTAGCGAGTAAGATGAGTTCTAATCACTCAAGAGAAACCTAAATGACTGGAAATAATCACCTATATTCATATATGTATGTAGTTCTACAGCAGAAGACTTGTGTGTTCTACAAAAGCATTACCATTTTTACTAAACCTACGAAACTCTATGGCTCTAGGGGTTTATACATCTAAACATTATCCAATAAATCACAATTTGATGTCAAACGACAGCGGTTTACTTATTTGGCTTGGAATATTCTTGAATTTAAATTTTTAAGGTGCATTGAATGTTATATGAAATGTGTTTACTGTTTTTTTTTGTTGCTTTATCAATTAAATTGAATTTAATTTAAGAACTTGGCATTATTAAAGTAAAGCTAGAGGCTTATGCTGTTTTGTGTATATTTATATTTACATAGTTATCTCCTGTAGATTTTCTTAAATATTTGTTTGCTTGTCGGCATACAATGTGCATCTATTATGAGAGTGTGTTGGTGTGCTTTACACTAAAAGAAACTAGGAGAGTAAAAGATTTATTTTAAATAATATACAATAGGCATATAAGTTTAGAATTTTGTTTTGTAGGGGTCCAAATCAGTACTAAACCATTTTAAGCTAAATCAAAATTAATTTTGTCTGACCATTTATAAATTTACGGAACATAAAACAATTTAATAAGTCTTTAAAATATTCTACGATTTTTTTTTAGATTTTAAAAATTACTGGAACTTATATGCTATCGATAACTTATGTTATCAAAATATAAAAAAAAAAAACATTATTAAAAATAAAAGCAAAACTCAAAACAATTTAATTAAATGAAATAAATTAAATTTAATTCCTTTTCAAAAATATCAAAATTTATATAGCTAGCCGCCTTATTTTTAAAAATTGAATACATTTGTAAATATCGATATTTATTCATCATACCATCTCTAGGGGAGAGTCAGCTGTCAGCAGTGAAAAATTTCTGGAATAACAAAACAGGCAAAATTACCCGTTTCCGTTTTCGTAGCCGGAAAAAATTGGAACAACCGATTCAAAATCATGAACTGGCACAAGGGCAGCATAGCGGAGGCCGTGGCAGAATCAAAGGCCAAGGATGCCATCTTCGTTGTCTTTATTGAGGGTAAAAAAGAATGCATTAAACTCCTTATATTCACCACGTCATTATTGGGAAAACTCTTTTCTTAGGCAAGGATGAGCTATCCGCCAAGCTGGAACGATTCGTGGACGATGTAAGGGTCCGTTCACGCCTGGAGACCGCCGACTTTGTGACCATCAAAGTCCAGGGAAACAGCTCTGCCTACGGACAGTTCATGTCGCTATGTGAGTATCGATTACTGCCGAGTCACTCTCCCTTTTTATTAACAAGTTTGTTTACTTTTTTTTGCAGACAAAGTTGTGCCCATTCCCTCGCTTTTCTTTATCGGCAAGTCGGGCACTCCTTTGGAAATAGCCACCGGAATTACGGAGAGTGTGGAAGAGCTAATGGTCAAGATCGACAAGGTTTTGGTTCTGGCAGGGAAACGAACGGAAACGTCGTCAGCAGCCAGTTTAGCCACCTCCTTTGTGGAGGAATTGAATCCCACTGAAGTCAGAAGCTTTGCCGGTGCCGATGACTCGACCAGTTTAAGCAAGGACGAGGCATTCGAGGAAACGCCGGAAAGTCAAAATGCTTCAGAGAGTCCCAAGTCCGTCGAAGTGGTTTTTACCTCGGTTCCGAATCCGAGTTTACAGGTAGAGGAGTCCAAGGTGAATCAGTCAACTGCTCCAGCTTTTGCCAGCATTTCGTCGATATCCATTGAATCGTCAGCGTCCAACGTGGGGGAAACCCAGCAGGCCACGGCGTCTGCAAAGGCGGCAGCCAGTAAAATGGACACTGCCACCACATCTGGAAATGTTGCCTCGAATTTGGCTGCCTCTTCAATCCTACCCTCAGTACCTTTGCTCTCGGCAGCTGTACCAGTTGCTCAGGTACAGGGAACTGCACAGGAACAGGTTCCAGAAGAGATAGCACCAACAGATTCCGAAACGCGAATGTTGGAGGTACAGAATTTGTTGGAGCAGAAACGCCGCGAGCGACTGGAGGAGGAGAAGCGGCAGGAGAAGGAGAACGAGCTAAGGCGGCGCAGGGAGGGAAGGCAGGCGCAAAGCCAGCAGGCTCTGGCCAAAGAGCAGGAACTCAAGAATATGCAGGTAATAGAAACCAATTATAAGCAAAATATAGTTTGCAGTACAGGGAAAACCCTTTATCATTCCCCTAGGAACGCATTCGTCGCGAGAGGCAGGAGGAGCAGGAGGCCAGGGAACGTATCCGAGCACAGATCGCCGCCGATCGGGCAGAGCAGGCGCACCGCAACCAAATCGAGGCGGAGGCCAACAGCACAACCACCTCGTTGGCTGGCGCCAGCACCACAGAGCCCTCGGTTTACTCTGTGGACGAAACGCGTCTGCAGATCCGCCTTCCCGGTGGCATCAATCACACGAAATCATTTCCAGTTGGCGAGGTGCTGGGCACCGTGCGCATTTTTGTCCGCAATGAACTGTTGGCGGCCAGCGATGTCCACGATTTCACTTTGGCCACCAGTTATCCTCGACGGGAGTTCCAAAAGGAGGATGAGGCCAAGACGCTGAGAGAACTGAAATTGGTGCCCAATGCCGTGGTTTTGGTGCTGGCCAAGGAGCATGTGAATCGCGTGGTGCGCAGCGGTAGCTCCCTGGTGACCATGCTGATTACGGCCATCTGGGCAATGCTCACACCGGCGGCCAAGGCTTTGGACTATATCCACAAGATGGGCTTGCGTCCCCTTACCCAGAGGTTAAGCGCTATGGTGGCCAATATCCGGGGGACAACAGATCGGCAGGACAATGTGGGAGGAGCTGTCCAGGGCGATGCGTGAGTACTATGAATGGGGTTTGCCAGTTTTAATACTTCTAACTAACTAATTCTCAGTGCCGCCCGTCGCAATATGGATATGTTCACCCTGCGACCACCTCCGCCTCCTGGTTACAACTACGAACAGCCAGAGGACATAGCATCGGGGTCAACTTCCACTCCCCAGCCACAGCCGGGCACAGGCAGTACTCCGCAACCCCAGCCCACTAGCAGCAGCAGCCAGGGTGCAGGCTCCTCGCAGGAGTTCCAGCAGCGTCCAGGCGGATATCGGTATGGTGGCCCAAACATTCGACGGCTGCAGGATACAAACAAGGACGATGAAAAGGATAAGGCCACGTACAATGGCAACTCCACGCAGCAGCAGTAGGCTGACTCCCTATCCCCATATCCTTAGTCCATAGATATCACACCTATAAAATAGCCTGTTATTCTAAATTATAAATTAAAACAATTCAAGAATATATATATCAATTCAATGTTTTTTTTTTTAATTTGAAACAAAATGTGAGCCTTAGTAGCTAGGACGATAAACACGATGGTGGAAACTGATATAATTAGTTCATTATAATTATTAAAAGTTGAAGAGGGAGTCGATATATCATACGGCGATTATATTGAAAATATCTTTGTTATTTAAATATCAATAAAAGAGAAGATATAAAATTTTAATTAAATTTCATTTTTAACGATTATTAAATCTTTAAAATAGAGCTCAAAATCAAATCGATTAATATCGATAATTAATATATTTGTAGATAAAAAATCGATTTTTTGTATATATTTGTAGAATTTTTTAGAAAGATTGATTGACTCAAAATAGACTTATTTCCAGCTCTATTTTAAAACTTAATTTTAGATAACCTCCGATATATCAAACAGAATATCGATTTATCATGTAACAAACCAAATCAAAAACAGCTTTTTAGTGTAAAAATCAAGGAATTTGTTTAATTGAACAAAATGAAGGCTTACTAATTAATATAAAGATATTTTAGATATCCGCCAGTATGTTTAATCGATGATATAGTATCAACAAAAAAGAGCTTACAAACTAGAAGAATAGAAAGCTGATAGAGATTTTTAAGAAAGGGAACTTTTTATCATTAGTTTTAAGCCGTTCCATAAAAATAGATTAAAAACAGGTGCATACAAAATATGATCAATGGATAAATGGAAATAAGGTGATTAGATGATGAAACCATTTGCATAAAATTCACTAAATTTGAAGCTATTTACGTTTATGATTGTTCACCTCCGCCGCTGGATCGTGTACGTCAAATCAGTGGATGAATAGAAACAAGGGTGGAGTTAACCATCAAGTCCTCCTAAGGCGCGCCTCGAAAATACTATACAATAATGTGTAAGATCATGTGTCCAAAGCCCCCAGTCCCATTTGCCGTTTACAAGGTGAACCACATGAGGAACTGCAGCAGCTTGTAGACATTAACCAGTGGGAACTTCCAATCCCTTTTCCTCTGCAGCGGTGGCACCAAACTCGGGTAGTGGACGAGGCTACCGATATGGCAATTGGTGGTGATATTGCCACCGGGATAGACAATTGTTACCGCATCGCCCTGCTTCACGCCATCGCAATCGATCAGCTCCAGCGTCTTGCTGAAGCAGATGCGAATCTCCGAGAGGTAACTGATGCTGTGCTTGTTATCAAACATGCAGTGGATCGACGGATTCTTCCCCAGCGCCTTCACAATGGCATTGTTGATCGCTGTGACCGTGTTGTTGGAGTCCGGGTGTATGTCCGAGGCGTCCAGGATGCGCGACATAATGTAATCCTCTCGCCAAATCAGTCCTTGCTCAAAGTACTTGAGCTCATTGTCCAGGGCTTCGATGCGCATGGCGCAGGTGCCGTGCTTCTGCCACTCGTGCTTCCACAGCCACTCCTGTGTGTCCTCGCCCTTGAGATCCGGCCAGAAGGTCTCCAGGCGATCCGAGATGGGTTCCAGCTTCTCCGGACTGAAGCTCGCAGAGTTGTTGCAGAAATTCGGCCCAAACTGATGCAGCTTCGTTGGCCAAATGCCGTGAATAGTCCAGAACTCCTTCTTCTGCGGCAGCGAGCACTCCTGATCGGGATTATCCTCGCGCCAGTGATAGCATGTGGTCACCGGCCACTGCTGGGTGAAAATCAGCACGTCCCAGTCATTGTTCTCAACGCGGTTCCACTTTTCTCCATCCAGCAGGGCGTCGTCGTCATCGTAGGGGAACCTCAGCTCGAAATCCTCACCGCCAGTCATCGTGGGGTCTCGTTTCGCCTGCTGCTTCTCCAGCGACGTTGATTCATCCGACGATTCCGATGTGTCGCTAGAAAGGGGGAAAAACATGAGCTCTTGAGTAATTCGCATCGATTTTGCAGAGTTCTTTGTCTGTTGCCTATCACGCAAGGGGGCTTCTAGGTCAACCTTGAACTTCACTCAGCTCCTGGATCGCTATATATGTGTACTTTGTATAGCTTTGCTGCAGGACGTGTATTGCAGGGCAGGATGAAGTGGGGAGTCCGGGAAAGTTTGCCCCAAATATCGTGGCGTTTCTCGGTTTTCTACGGCTGTTAACTCACCTAATGGGCGTGGATTTGATGGCCACAAGGCAGCAGGCCAAAATGGCCCATATTAGAAGCTGCTGGCTCTGCATTTTCTTGTAAAATAAAAATAATAATAAACTGCGATGCAAAAACCTTCGATGGCGCTATCGATGTATCGATATTTAGTTATGTGACTTGATATCGATTTCGGACATCTCGTAAAGTTTAGTATATTTATCGACCTACCGAACTTTAATACTAAAAAATCGATTTCTCAAGCGCCACTTTTGAATTAAGTGAAAATAAGTTGTTCTTAAATAAAATGCTACAATTTATGAAATTTTAAGTCTTAAACTTATTTCTTTATATAAAAATAACCGTTTAATAGAAATGCCACATTATTTTATATGATAATGGTTGAATTTCGGAATACCGTAAATGATTTGAGGGGAAAATCTTAAAACTAATCATTTATATCAATAACAATTAACTTTGGCTCCTCTTTTTTAATTTTAAACTATTATTAAAAATGCTTGAGGTCAAATGTTTCCAGTTGCTTAGCCATAAAACCCATTAATTTTAGACACTCATTAACTTTATGAGCACTTAGCTAAAATGAGACCCGACCCACGTTGGTTAATAAATTCCCTAGACTTTATCGCTAATTGAAATAGAAAAATAAGAAGAGAGAACTGTATCGGCTGATTAGGATTTATGAAATACTTCGCCAGCTTGTCTACTCGGGCTTTCAGCCGGAGTCAGTGTCTTGAAAATCCCCTGGTTACGTTGATAAGATTCCGAATTGAGTATTCTTTTGTTTTTCCTTTTGGTTTTTAGTCATCATCCAACTTTAATTAGTGACAACGATAATTACACATTGCAATGTACCTATTCTGTTGCCTTTTATCTGGTGTTCTGTTGTTGACTTCTGTTGAAAACCCAATGACTACGGCCAACAGCAGCAGCAACAAATCAATGACAACTATGAATCGAACAAATACATTGGCAGCAACAACAAATGGTGACAAGAATATTGCTTAGCAATTGATTATTGCTTAACTGTACTTTGTACTTTTGATGATCCCACAGAAAAACATGGGTGGCGGTGGGCCTAGTACAAGTAGTTAAGGGGGTTGTATTAGGTGAGTGACCAGCTGTCGGAATACTAGATAAATAGGGTAAAGCTGTCACACTTAATGCCCCATAATTGTGAGGGGTAACAGGAGGGAATAGGAGTTGTATTAGGTGTTGTCGAATAATAAATATATATAAGAAAAATTATAATAATAATATTAAGAAGTCTAGATATTATATTACAATTTATTTACAATAGTTTTCCTTTGTAAAAAGTTTTTCTTACAAAAGGAAACTATTGTAAATCAAATTTTAATTTATAAATTCAATAGTATAACTATATTTATAATATGCAAACAATATACAATTTTTGTTAAATAAACTAAAAATATGTTTCCCTTATAGATAAGAAAAATTCCCATACAGCTATAGAAGGCTTCGAAGTGGAGAAAATTATATGAAACCTAATGATTGTTTGTATAAATATTTATTTAAATATTTGCAAAGTCGAATAAATATTTAAAATGTTTGTTCTATTTAAATTTTAATTTCCAAATAAAATTAAACCTCTAACAAAAGTTTTTTAAATAATTTTGTACAGGGTAAATCTAGTGAGTAACAAAAGTCTAGGTCTCTATGCTATTTCCGTTCATGTTTTATCAATTTATCAAATTCAATTAGTTCGATTCCGGGCGATAAAACTCATTTACATGACGAACGAACTTCTAATCTATACCCCTCGCTGTCCCTGGGACACCTTTTCGCCGCATTGAAACCAATTCCCGCTCATGTCTGGGGATTTTATCAAACAACATTTGTGATTATTTTCGTGTCATGTTTTTGTAAGCCTGTTTGGATGGCGAACGAGCGAGCGGGCGGCAGGCTTTTATGCAGATTTCTGAGTGGGGACTTTTGTTTGATGACAAATTAATTTAATAATAATAACAGCTGCAAAAACATTTCGTAATCAATTTTTGCCACGAGAACCTAACAATTATCCTCGATGTACAATCAATTAATGTTGTCTTTCAGCTGGCGGCCCCCTAATGAGATTTACTTGTGTGTCCTTCGGCTGATTTTGCTCTAAATCGTGGAAAATGGTTTTCTCTTTCGTTTGCCGCCACAACTTTCATTTCCTGGGGGTGAATAATAAATTTAAAAAATGTGACTTTTTCGTTTTTTTTTTTGTTGCAACCTTTCTTTATAATCAACGCCATCATCATCATCAACATTGGCAGCATTGACAGAGGGGATTCCCCTCAAGACTTGACTCCATCATCTTTGTTTTTTTTTGTTGGGGGGGAGAAGCCATCATCTCTCTTTTTCCCTCTCTTTCTGACTTTCTCCTTTCTCTCTCTCCATTTTGCGCCTGCGCAAGCCATCAAGAGAGGCCTGGATTTTGTGGGCGGAGCTACTTGGCTTTTATATAGGATTTTCCAGCGCGGGGAACTCCCGGTAATTGCTTCAATTTGCCGTACATATCCGGATCCGCTTCGCTTTCCCCCGGGTCGCCTCTATTTTTCCAGCTTCCTTTTCGCTTTCCTTGTTTTTGTGCAATTGCTGTGTGTAAATGGCATGAGAATGATAATTGTAGCAATTATAATATTAAATTGGGAGATCATGGCTCACAGGGTTTTGCCTCTCCACCCACACCCCCTTTTCGTTGAGTTTTTATGTAGCATACTTTTTTGCTGTCATCCTGGCAGCTCTACCTCCCTGCTCTACCCCATCGGTCCTTGGGGGATTTTTCACTCTCGAGTGCTGCTGTGTATTCTGCCGGATTTGTTTGTTAATTAGAATTCTAGCGTTGAAATTAAAATGCTCACTCCAAAGCGGAAAGAGGGGGTCTGGAAAACTGTCGGAAAAACTTCAACTAGTTTTTCGGGGCGTTGGCTCTGCTGCTGCTGCCCGTTGGGAATGCGCCTCCTGCTGTCGCTTTTTATTATTTGTCTGCCTCCGTTCTTAATTACTGCAGTTTATTTTCTAAGTGAGACTAATTAACAGGCGATTCGCAGCATTGCGGCACATTTTACTCGTTTTCGTCCAAAGATTTTCACTTCGGTTGTGTGTGTGTGAGAGCGGTCAACATTTCTGGCTAGTTAGTTGGTTGTGATAGCTTTGGACTTAAAAGTTTTTCGACAGACATCCGGCCACTTTTTCTGCTCGCATGTAAAGTCCTGCGGCTGAAAGTTGTTGCAAGTCTCTTCCAATTAGTTGGGTCACTTTGGTAGTGGCATATGTGGAGCAAAGTCATCAAAAGTTGACTCATTTTTTGGGTTTAATTACGAGTTGGTTTAAAAAGTAAAGTTGGTGTCTTATTGAAATTTATTGGGAACAAATTTAATAACATTTTGATACTTTATTTCATTAATTTGAAAAGTTAAAGAAGCAATTTTAATTATTTATTCAATTTAATTATATATAACTTAAAGTTTAGTCCATTAAATATCCCCTGTAACTTGTGGCGAGCTAAACTAGACATTGATTTGCCACCTCGGGTCGTGCAATCGTACCTGCGATCCCCCTTTCCCCTTTATCCATTAACTATGCCACAAATTTACGTTATTAGTGCAGCATTAGGCACTCGGCGCTAATTATCAACACTGTCTGAGGCGCAAAAAGCCCGCTTAACCTCCACCTATCCACCTATTTGGTATCCTTGGTATCCTTGGTCCGCCATCAGCAACAGTCCACCATCATTTGGCATTTGAATGGCGCCCATTTCAGCACCAACCCCCAACCTGCAGCCCAACATAAAACATGGCCAACACACACACACATACACACTGACAGGATACCCACCCACTCCCACACACACACACACACACAGAGCACAACCCTCGCACGTTAATGAACGTAAAATTCACTTAATTCCAACTTTAGCCATGAATTAAGCACGACAAATGGACGCTAAGAGGATGGTAAAGTGGGAAATGGTACGATAAGCGCACTGGAGGGGTGGCTTTTCACCCAGTAAAGTAGTGGGTGTAATGTCCTGCTCCTTTTATCCCCCGCATCCCGCGTATAAATAAGCACAAAGACGTGCCACGAGACTTGCAAAAAACCCGGAGAGAGACTGGAAAAGGGAGATAGCGAATCGGAAAGAGACAGAACGCCGAAACAATAAGTAAATGTGCTTTTATGGCTCTTAATTAAGGCAATGATGGGGTGTTTTAATACGTTTGCCAAATGTTAAATGACAAACTGCTTGCTCGTCGACTCGTCGTTATGGCCCCCAGCTTCTGATCCTCTCGTGCTCTTTCACACTGGGCGAAAAATTGTGTGGGTTAAGGAGGAAAAATAATATTAAAGTGACACTGATAAGTTTTGAAATCAATGAAAAATTTGTAGAATTTGTTTTTGGATATTAAAATATTTTGTTAAAATAATAAAAGAGTGTTACTGAAAACATTACACAGCATCGGAAAATTTAAAATGTTTTGTTTTAAAGAGTAAAATACTTTTAATCCTAATTTGTAATCAATTTAATATCAATATCCTTACACTAATCTGGAATCTAAATTTTAGAATTTGTTTTAAATCTATTTATACAATCTCTCAGCTATTATTTCTAGTTATATATATATTTTTTAATATTTTTGGTTATCATCAGCAGGCGAGTTGATATAGTCAAGACTGTACAGAACATAATTATTATTATTTCTAGTTTTTTTGTATGATTTTTCCAAGCTAGATTTTAGTTTAAATAGTAAAAAAAACCCCCTTCTACAGTTATCTATCTTTCATTTAAGGCTTTGAAAGCTGGAAATCTTCCATTAATTCAACGTATCATTATCTTAATTTTAAATTACATTAAAATATATATATTTATATATTTTTTAACCCCAGTGTATACTCTCCACTCACACACATGAACGTTAATGAAGCTGCTGCGACAGCGGTTTTGAGACTCTTGCTACAGTCCTTGTTCCTTTTTTTTTTTATAATTTCCCTGCAAATTCCAGGGCTTTTCTTTTTCCCTTTGCCGCTTCTGTAAATTGTCTGCCACCGCGCACTCCTTTGACTAATTGCCCGGACTGGTCGATAGATTTATGACGCGCAGTGTGCACTTGGCATGCCTAATGAGCAATT